TAAACAGTTGGCTTGCTATTGAATAAGCTGTGTACCTCGCCGAAGCGGCAAGGTGACCTTGACTTTTCACGAGCTTGTGTCATCACTGTTTGTTAGTGATTCATACCTCAGAGGTAAATAGAGTGCAGTCGACCTTGGAAGCTATTCATTATGATTATGAAAAAGTATTTGTTAACTGCCTTAAATGACAGATAATGTCATTATAATTGTAGTCATGTGCCATTATATCTGTGTCAATGTTTCATTGCCATGTCACCATGTAAACATCCAACCAATCATGCAGCAAGTAGTATAGTTGAGTCACGCTAAATGATTATTGTGGGTGTGCACTCTTTCTGGTACGTAAATATTATAGAGATGGAGATTAGAAATTCAGAGGCGGGAAACAATGAATGGCGAAACCATTGTCTATTTATAAAACAAGACAGTACTTCTGTGAACCGAGACTATTGTGACGATCCTATTCCCAACGGTTTAGTTTTAAGAATAAAAAGAAAAGTGTCATAAACATTCCCCCTAGGGTTTCTTTAATTTGCATTGTCCTCATTCTTCATACCTCTCAAAACGCTCACACCCACATACTTAGAAATGATAATTAAAAAAGGGAAGCGTTTGGTAGGCTTAGAAATAGGTCGAAAGGCCTGTTCACATAATGCTGCTATATGGGGTTTAAAATAAGATAGAAAATGTGTTGGTATATAAATCACTTTCGAATCAGACTGAAAGATTAGAGAAAATGACGTATTAGTATTACATGGTTTGCAAACGTTCTTGCTGCATTAAATGTAATTGTTCATAAAGTAAGCAAGGTTAGCCTATTGCAGCATAGAGGCGCACAGAAAATATAACCTACGAGTCAAGGTTAGCCTATTGCAGCATAGAGGCGCACAGAAAATATAACCTACGAGTACATGTATATCACAGTAAAACGTAAATGGGTGAGTGAGTGAGTTCTTGTCGCTTTTAGCAATATTCCAGCAATATCACGGCGGGGGACACCAGAAATGGGCTTCACACATTGTACCCATGTGGGGAATCGAACCAGGATCTTCAGCGTGACGAGCGAACGCTGTAACCACTAGGCTACCCCACCGCCCCAAAACGTAAATGTCGTCCGTTCGGTAAGCTTGGATTTAGCATCGAGTATTTTGAGGTTGGGTCATTTCATTCGGAAATAGTTGCCGATGTGACGATAAATTTTACCTCACTCACTCACTCATTCGGAAATAGTCCACTGTTAACGGACGATGAGCATCTGTGTATATGCTGCGGCGTTGTGTATGCATTGCTAGGTACTATCTATCTGTAGCTAATCTAAACACGTGCATTCACAAAGACGACCGCCTGAAGTGAAACGTGCCAGTCTAAGAAAATGAATGAAAACTGCGTTCGTTTTATTGGTTTCCGACCCGCGAAGAATTCGGTTTAGAATTCATCTTCAGTAACCCATGCTTGTCGTAAGAAGCGACTAACGGGACCGGGTGGTCAGGCTCTCGCTGACCTGGTTGACACATGTCAATGTATAGATCGGTGTTCATGATGTCGATCACTGGATTGTCTGGTCCAGCGATTATTTACAGACCGCCGCCATATAGCTGGAATGTTGCTACGTGCGGCGTACAACTATACTCACCCACTCACGTCTTGGTTTCCAGTCACAACACACACATGAAAACGTCTCAGTGTTTAACACACTGACACCATGACAAAAGGTAGCTTGGCACCCCAACGCAACAACCTTTCAGTTTGATAAAATGAAATGACTCATGAGTGACTGTTTGTGATAAGATGGGTGGGTGTTCTTGGTGGATATGACATATAGATCATTAGTCTTCATATGGATTGTCATTTGAGGTGGAAAAACCTATTGACTATGGTTCTCTTGAGACAGTAAAATGTCGCACAAAATGTTTTAACGAGAGTCTAAGGTACATGGGGCCTGTGCATCACTAGGAATGTCTACAGGTACGTGTGCGACCTGGTAGATTCCGTGTCCTCTATTCTGACACTGATGTCTTTGACTGACTGTGGCACAAAACACATTTTCATTTATTTGTATTCGGAATTAGTGAGTGAGTATGACTTAACGCCGCTTTTAGCAATATTCCAGCAGTATCACGGCGGAGGACACCAGAAATGGGCTTCACACATTGTACCCATGTGGGGAATCAAACCTGGGTCTTCGGCGTGACAAGCCAACGCTTAAACCACGAGGCTACCCAACCGCCCCTATTCGGAATTAAATGCCCATTAACATTGTTATTGATGACCGTGTAATATACTTTGCAAAAGTTACATTTTTTCAGTTTAATGTGAGCGGTAACTCTGTTGAGATAATATCAATCTTTTATTGCTTAGTGTCAATAAACCAGCAAAAATAAGCTGCAGCGTACGCATGCATCTGTTGAACACATCTGTTGTAAAGATTAACGTATCCATTAAAAGCACTGAGAGTGTAGAGCATGTTATCACGATTAAAATATAATACATACACAAGACGTCTTACGAAGAGCTTGACAGAAGTCTCGATTCTATCTGTCTCTCGTCCAAATCTACGCAGTTATATCAATACTATACTCGTGTAAGACTTGGGTAATTGCTGTGGTTGCGTAAGAATTACGTTTCACGGGAAAAGGGATGGGCAAGTGTGTCTATTGCGCGAAGTGCTCCATTCAAAGATGACACAACACAAAAGGACAGTAATAATATGTATTGAAAAAGAAGGTCTTGGTTTACAGAGTTGCAAGTTCCGACTGCACAGTCCAGGTGAAACCTAAAAAACAAGTTGGCTTGTTGTCACCTCGACAGTGCAGGCAGAAAGAGCCATTGTACAGATACAATTATGAAAATCAACAATAATCCGACTGATATAAATATTGCATAAATAGAAGTAATTTGTAAAGTTATATAAAAACAACCCTAAATAAACATGTAGCAAAGCACTTTGCATTATATTTGATGTCATGTATCGCGCGTGACATGTGCGTTTTGTGCACAATGAACTTCCTCACTTTTTTGCATGCTTTTTGACACCTGATTTTCACACACCTGTTATTGTACATTAAAGACCGGTTGATTATTCTCTAGCCTCTGAATGTTGGGGAAAACACGTTAATTTCAATATGAACTGCGCGTACGTCAACCCACAAATTACAGAAAATCAACGTCTCCGTGCCGTGCGTATGCACGAGGCTGGAATGGCCCAAACTGAAGTTGCCAGACATTCTGATGTTCATCGAAACACGACCTCATCTCTATGGATCTGTTTTCAACATAATGGGAACATGAGAGATTTGCTCGTACCGGCCGTTCACGTGTGACGTCACGTCAGTAGGACAACCATATTCGGCTCACCCATCTAACGAATCAATTCGGGACTGCCAGTTTGACTTGACATACATGTATGTATGTACAATGTATGTATGTATGTATGTATGTATGTATGTATGTATGTATGTATGTATGTATGTATGTATGTATGTATGTATGTATGTATGTATGTATGTATGTATGTATGTATGTATGTATGTATGTATGTATGTGTGTGTGTGTGTGTGTGTGTGCGTGTGCGCGTGCGTGCGTGCGTGCGTGCGTGCATGCGTGTGTGTATGTATGTTATATTATGGAAAATTCTGTATTATAACCATCTTAGATCAGTCCTATATGTGCACTTCCATGGGATAATATTACATATTTTCCAGTCCTTTGGTGGGAGATTTAGATTCACGCTATCCCAGTTTTATTGTAGTGTTTTGTTTTGTAGTGTTTTATCATAGATATATTTGCTACCTTTTTCACTGAATTTTAGTTTAGACAAATTAAAAGAGTATGTCGGTTTAAAGTAAAATCTCAAATAGTTATCTTTAACATGTGTGCAATAATTGCTTGTTTGATCCCTTCAAAGGTCAGGAAATTAGTTCTGAATTTATATAGATTTATCAAAGGATACAAATTTCCTTTCTGTTGTCAACATATCAGATACAAACACAACTCCCGTGTTATATCAATATTAATACAGAATAGGTCTGTTATCAACCAATATGTCATCATTACACTTCCAGTTTGGCTGCTCGGACCATTCCTGGCTTATGCCGAATCAGTTCCAGGACTGTACGGAACCGACTGAGGGAGCACAACATCCGACCCCGACGGCCTGCAATTTTTCTCCAACGTCACCAACAGGCAGGTCTTGCCTGGTGCAGGAGACAAGAATGGGGTGGTGCTTTGTTCACTGATGAGTCGAGATTTAATCTTGACTGACTGACTGACTGACTGACTGAGTTTAGTTTTACGCCGCTTTTAGCAATATTCCAGCAATATCACGGCGGGGGACACCAGAAATGGGCTTAACACATTGTGCCCATGTGGGGAATCGAACCCGGGTCTTCGGCGTGACGAGCCAACGCTTGAACCACTAGGATACCCCACCGCCCTTTTAATCTTGACAGCTCAGATGGCAGCGCAAGGGTGTATAGACGGCGAGATGAACAGTGAGTAAACAGCGCATATTAATAAGGATGAGAACGGGGTTATATTAATTTAATATTAACGAAGGAAGACGGCAGGGGTTAGATTTAAGTTAAACGGATAAATACTATATATCATAAAGAGATTATTAACCTCGTGTGTTTCCGAATCATTAATATCATATATTAGGTATAAGGCCAAAGGCTCGCATTATACAAATTTTATTCCCAATTAAAGATACGGAAACACACGAGGTTAATAATCTCTATTAACTCCACACCTAGTACGGATTACATCACCAGTTTCTCGTTGGGGTTATAATTGTCACGGGAAGTTCGGCAAACATCCTGCAACCCTTGTGGGTTGTTTGGTCGGCTTGTGAGCATTCGGGACATGGTTGGGGATATCAAGAGGGGTTGTTTTTGGACGTGATGACGACATTTCAAGATTGGACGTACCACTTACAAACACGACGTCCCATGCAATTCCTCTTTTGACTTGCACTAAGTGCACCTGTGGTTATTTGATTTCAGGTAAACAGTTGGCTAGCTATTGAATAAGCTGTGTACCTCGCCGAAGGGGCAAGGTGACCTTGACTTTTCACGAGCTTGTGTCATCACTGTTTGTTGGTGATTCATACCTCAGAGGTAAACAGAGTGCAGTCGACCTTGGAAGCTATTCATTATGATTATGAAAAAGTATTTGTTAACTGCCGAAAATGACAGATAATGTCATTATAATTGTAGTCATGTGCCATTATATCTGTGTCAATGTTTCATTGCCATGTCACCATGTAAACATCCAACCAATCATGCAGCAAGTAGTATAGTTGAGTCACGCTAAATGATTATTGTGGGTGTGCACTCTTTCTGGTACGTAAATGTTATAGAGATGGAGATTAGAGATTCAGAAACAATGAATGGCGAGACCATTGTCATTTTATAAATTAGACAGTACTTCTGTACTGACGATGAACATCTGTGTATATGCTGCGGCGTTGTGTATGCATTGCTAGGTACTATCTATCTGTAGCTAATCTAAACACATGCATTCACAAAGACGACCGCCTGAAGTGAAACGTGCCAGTCTAAGAAAATGAATGAAAGCTGCGTTCGTTTTCTTGGTTTCCGACTCGCGAAGAATTCGTTTTAGAATTCATCTTCAGTAACCCATGCTTGTCGTAAGAAGCGACTAACGGGATCGGGTGGTCAGGATCTCGCTGACTTGGTTGACACATGTCATCGTATAGATCGGTGTTCATGATGTCGATCACTGGATTGTCTGGTCCAGCGATTATTTACAGACCGTCGCCATATAGCTGGAATGTTGCTGAGTGCGGCGTAAAACTAGACTCACTCACTCACGTCTTGGTTTCCAGTCACAACACACACATGAAAACGTCTCAGTGTTTAACACACTGACACCATGACAAAAGGTAGCTTGGCACCTCAACGCAACAACCTTTCAGTTTGATAAAATGAAATGACTCATGAGTGACTGTTTGTGATAGGATGGGTGGGTGTTCTTGGTGGATATGACATACAGATCATTAGTCTTCATATGGATTGTAATTGGAGGTGGAAAAACCTATTGACTATGGTTCTCTTAAGACAGTAAAATGTCGCACAAAATGTTTTAACGAGAGTCTAAGGTACATTGGGCCTGTGCATAACTAGGAATGTCTACAGGTACGTGTGCGACCTGGTAGACTGCGTGTCCTCTATTCGGACATTGGTGTCTTTGACTGACTGTGGCACAAAGATCATTTTCATTTATTTGTATTCGGAATTAGTGAGTGAGTGAGTATGCCTTAACGCCGCTTTTAGCAATATTCCAGCAGTATCACGGCGGAGGACACCAGAAATGGGCTTCACACATTGTACCCATGTGGGGAATCGAACCTGAGTCTTCGGCGTGACAAGCCAACGCTTTAACCACGAGGCTACCCAACCGCCCCTATTCGGAATTAAATGCCCATCAACATTGTAATTGATGTCCGTGTAATAGATTTTGCAAAAGTTACATTTTTCAGTTTTATTGTGAGCTGTAACACTGTTACAGCTGCAAAAATCACCTGCAGCGTACGCATGCATCTGTTGAACACATCTGTTGTAAAGATTAACGTATCCACTAAAAGCACTGAGAGTGTAGAGCATACACAAGAAGTCTTACGAAGAGCTTTTGACAAAAGTCTCGACTTAATCTGTCTCTCGTCCAAACCTATGCAGTTATATCAATACTATACTCGTGAAGGTGAACTTGTGAGGGTTTTCAAACGTCATTTTCGCATCCGTCTCTTGCATATTTGGTAGCTCTATATCATGCCATTAATATATCACCTGGACAGTATTGAAAGGAATAGCAGAAAACAAAGCACCAAAAACTGTCGATCCCAGTTGTTATTCTTACGAAACAGAAGGTATGGAGATTCTTCATGGACTCTTTCTAAATTCTCTTCAGATTGTCAGGTACTGGCAGAACATGAGCGAACACTCATCGTGTTATGTTACACAAGACTGATAGTTTACAGGGGCGGATACAGCTTTTTGAGAAAGGGGGTGGTGGTGGTGGTGCACACTTTATTTTCAAACCGAGTTTCGGCACCCGTGAAGAGCCACCTCCTCGTGGTGGGTGCTGGGTAACGCTAAGATCTCTTCAAGCCCCCGTTGTGGACCCGGGGATATATTTGGTCCACCAACCCGTTTGCCGTGGGTTGCGCCCCTGTGTCGGTGGAGGAAGGGATTGAGGGCACTGGTTCCAGGAACAGTGTTCCTTTGCCCAACACACCACTTCGGCCCTAACTTCACCTAGACGGGTGGTTGAATAGGCCCGATTCAATCAATCGGCTGGTCATGCCAAGCCCTGTGTATGTATATTTTGATACACACTTTTTAGACACTTTGGAAAATGTTTTCTGAAATGACTTGGCTTATGTTTATGTATTTGAATTTGAAAATATTTCACTTTTGTAATTTGCCTAGAGTACTATACCCAGAAGGCGGTGGCTCATGGGCCAATCTGGTGGAATTATTAATCTTTTAATTTTTCTGCTGGAGTATATCATCCGAGTATCCTTGGTGCTGCAAACAGGAGACCCGCTTGCTTTTAGCATTGTCCTTGTGATACTCCGTGGTGGGTGGGGAGCTCGGATGATGAACCATTAAACACTAACTATGGCTTACAAAACTCCCCATAAGAAAACAAAACGTCCACTCGATACTGATCCTAATGATAACGACCAAACACTGCTCACATCAATTGACTACTGGCCACGTTTTATTGTAATTGAGACCATTGACAAAACACCTTTAAAGTTGAATCCTTTTGCCGTATTTAAAGGCATACAAAACATTGCAGGAGACGTTAAAAACGTTAAACGTTTACGGACACGTGCTCTTCTAGTTGAATGTAGTAAGAGACAACAGGCGACCAACCTCCTCTCAACTAAATCATTTGTCGGCATTCCCGTGTCAGTCTCTGCTCATAGAACGCTCAACACCAGCAAAGGCATAGTGAGAGACCGGGATAGACTTTTCACTGGCATGATGGAAATAGATATTGTCTCCGAGATGAAAGAACAAGGTGTCATATACGTTAAACGCTTCACAACCCGGAAAAATAACGAAATTCAACAAACCAATACCTATCTCTTTTCTTTTTCCACTCCGATTGCTCCAAAGTCAATAAAGGCTGGTTACTGTCACCTCAAAGTTGAAACGTACATACCAAATCCACTGAGGTGTTTCAAGTGCCAAAAGTTCGGTCATGGCGTGAATACTTGCACATTGTCTGCTGTGTATTCTCACTGTGGTGAAAAGACACACACAACAGAAGATTGTGACAGTAATGTCAAAAAGTGTACCAACTGCGCAGGGGATCAACCATCATACTCTAAAGACTGTCCTGTTTGGAAAACACAAATGGCTATCAATAGAATCAAATTCACCCAAACCATCAGTTTTGCAGACGCAAAGAAACTTGTTCAAAGCTCAGAACAAACAGAGAGCTATGCTTCCATTGCGAGAACGTCAGAAGTAACCTCCACAGTCACCAAATTATCTGCAAGTTGTCAGACCAACTTAACGTGGGTGAACACAGATTCCCCTCAAATTTTCTCACCTGCCATATGTACTCAAACAGCAGAACCACTTCCTAGTACTTCCCGAATCCAATCAGAAACATCCCCTGATCATGAACCATCTTCTCAGTCGACAATAAGGTCTCAACAAATCATTAAACCTAAAAGTAAAAAGCCAGATTCATGGACAAAAACAAAGTGGCTGAGCCCCCAAAGGGTCAGAAAATAAAATTCAGTTATTCAACAAATATGGATCTCTTGAAGATATGGACGTGTCCGAAAACGTCCGTTCTAGGGCACACAGCTTGTAGCCCAACAAAACAGTGCGGGGTAGCTCCCCAATAAATCCCCCCAAAGATAGGTTATAAGAATAATATTATACAGTGGAACTGCAGAGGACTAAGGACTAATTTCAATGAATTGCAGCTTTTAGTCCAGGATTTAACACCATCAGCGTTCTGTCTGCAGGAGACCTATTTAAAACAGACAGATGCTTTTGTCCTGCGTTCTTTCAATGCATATAATTGTTTTTCACCTCCGGGTGATAGGGCCACTGGAAGATCTTCAATCCTGGTCAAACAGAACGTTATCCATAGCCCTGTTTCACTTACTACTGATCTGCAGGCCGTTGCAGTGCGAATTACTTTACATGTTGAGTTTACATTATGCTCTCTATATATCTCTCCGTCTTCAACGTTTCACAAAACCGATCTTCAAGCTCTATATGACCAACTCCCGAAACCCTGTATTACTATGGGAGATTTAAATGGCCACAATCCACTCTGGGGTGGAGCAACTACAAACGCTAACGGTAAACTACTGGAGGAGTTTTGTTCAGATACTGATTTATGTCTTTGTAATGGTGGTTCCAACACATATTTACACCCTGGTACAGGAACCTATTCTGCTCTCGACTTGTCAGTCACAAATTCAGAACTACTAAATGAATTTGAATGGTCAGTCCACGATGACCTCTGTGGAAGTGACCATTTTCCTACTATACTAAAACCTGTAACTCCATCTGATGTTTCTCCCTCATCACGGCGGAATTTTAAAAAGGCTAACTGGGCTCTATATGAAACACTGTGTGCTGCAAAACTTAAACCTGAACTTTTTATTGACGTTCCTGATGCTATCAAATGTTTTTCCGATGAACTGAACATCATAGCTGTTGAGTGCATACCAAAGTCCTCTGCAATTCCACATATTCGAAAACCTTGGTTCAACGATGAGTGCAAACAAGCTAGGGAGGCAAGGAAAAAAGCAGAACGTTATTTCCGTTGCCACCCTATGGTGCATAATTTAAACAAATTTTAAATTTTAAATGCTAAAGCGCGGCGTACATTTAAACAGAATAAACGCCAATCTTGGCAAAATTATGTATCCCAAATAAATTGTCGAACGCACGCATGTCCAAAGTATGGAAGATGGTACAGAAAATTAAATGTAAAGGTACTAAATCTAGCGTCCATCATCTT